TTTCAATTGTGATTAATCTTGTAGACCTATTAAATACTAGAAGAAAAAGACCAAAAGACGATTGACAGGCTTTCTATGTACACAAAGCATTCAGTGCGGAATCAATATAACAAATATTAAAAGAGCCACAGCTAATCTTGGAAACCTGATCAAACAGTCTTCATCAGTGTTTGCAAAAGTACAAAGTGGGATTTTGTCGCAGTCGTCCAGTCATCGTCACCGTCATACTTGAGAGAAATGCATTGGTCTTTCAAGGACAAAAATACTTACTCTGAAGTGCCTTGGCAACAAGAGTGTCATTTTACTAATTTGGTTCCTGACATTTAGAACTTCAGAGTTATTTACAAGTTAGATGAACTGAACTAAAATGTAGTTCTGTAAAATATAAATGAAAACCTGGAGAGCATTGTACATTTAAAGTGAAACCAAATAACAATGGAGTTGCATTGTTGCTGGAAGGAAATCAGACCTTCCTGTTCACACATTGTGACGCATAAAACCTCATCTAAATATGACAATGAGAAAAATGCATGACTTAAGGGTTTCAAATCTTACAACTGAAAGCTAAATCAACTCATATTACTCTTAAGATTGTTGAGACTCTTAAGTGTATTGGAAAAGAATGTCTTAAAGGGTTACTCTGAATTTCCTGATCTGTTATTATGTTGTTTCCTCATCACAAACATACCTGGAGTTGTGTTTTATTCATACAGGTTTAACACAAAAACCTTGTACATTTAGACTGAGTTTGTGATGTCATGTGGCAATACGGGAAGTGCTCCACTGTGTTTTAAAACTTTCAATATAAAAATGATGACGATTTCAGCCCTGGAATTGACATTTTCTACTGAACTAAAGGTAGAAGGTAGCTGTTAAGTTGAACACTGTTCCACATTGTAACGTCATGTAGTAGTCGAGTAATTTGAGCTTTGGAGAAGAAGACAAACTAATAATAAAGGATTACTCAACTGTGCGAATGAAAAAAAAAAAAAAAACACAACTCCAGATATGTTTTTGATGATAGCAACATTCTAACAAGGCTTAAAACTCTCAAGAATTAGTTTTGCATAATACAGGACCTTTAAAGATAGTTTTCAAAGGATGCATATTTTGTGCAATAAGAAGCAATCCTATTTCAGGGAGAACTTGCAATCCACAATGCGTTAGTAGAATGAGTCAAACTGAAGCAATGGATTCTACTCTTTCAAAGTTTTGTTCGATAATGCAGTCTTAGCTTCTTGATGTTAGAAAAACTGTGAATTCAGTCGTCATATTCAACGAAAGTGTGCAGAACTGAAGAGAAAAACAGTCTTATGTAAATTACCACCTTTCAGCTATTCCCGTTGGGGTCGCCATGGCAAATCATCTCCCCATCTCTCTCACTCCCTTTCTCTTTCTGAAACCAACTAAATGCATTCTCTTAAATGCTTTGCTGAAATCAATCATGACAGAACATTGCAGTCAGAAGTGGCAGAAAAAGTAGAATGTCAAGTACATTGTTTAGAAAAGCTGCAAAAAGATCTGACGAACAAAATAACCTTGAAGTGCTGTCTCTGTATTCCTTCAAATTAATGTATAAAGTGACATTTTTCCACTTTGGTGGGTTTACTGAACAGTCATGTTCCGTTTACATTTGTGCAATAGACTGAAACCTCAACCAAGAAATTTACAATCATGTTTAAGAGAAGGAGCACTAAACATTAGAGAGACGATACACACACACAAAAAAAAAACTGCAAATATATCAGTCTGTCGGCCTCAACTCTCCTGCCTTGGCTGATATTTGGATTGAACTCACCAATTGTTGCATAAAGTGTTAGTGCAATGATGGCAATCACAAAATGAGATTACACTGCTCCATTATGGGTTAGTAGTAAAAAGGGTAGGGTTGTGGATGGCTGTAGTTACAGTAGGCAGACCAGTAAAATGTATAAACAATATTTATGTTAGTATTAATTAAAAATATATATATTTTGGGGGAAAATTATCAAAATATGCCCTACATATTGGCCCAAAAATATTGGCAGGGCTTATTGCCATTGGTTGCTCTGGGTTCTAAACAATAGGTATGAAAAAAAAACATATTGGTCAATCTGAATCTTAGTCTCAATAAAAAATGTATTAATTGCACAGTTCTAGAGTTGTACTGTCAAGAAAAATAACAAATTTTCAATTTAGGATTCTGCTCAAAGTTCATATTTTCAACCAGAATTGACAAAAAAAATTCATACGAACTAACAAAACTGGGAAACTAAACTTGTTAGCAGTTGCAGAATAAAACAGGATAATTGTTGTTTAAGGAGGAAATTATGGTACTTCGAAAATTGCAGCCTTTGGGATTTGCTAATTGTGATTTCGAATTGATTGTGATTAATCTTGCAACCCCATTAAACACTAAAAGTAAAAGGCCAAAAGACAATTGACAGGCTTTCTATGTAACACAACGCAATCAGTGTGGAATCAATATAAACCACTCACATGTGACCTCAGAAGCCAAACAGCCTCCACAGAGCTACAGTGTAAATGACAGAAAGGCAAAGAGAAGGACTCCTCCATCTTTCACAACTAATCACGGCCAATCACATACAGCCCAGTGTGGCTCCGTACAATGGGGGCAGTGGTGGGGAGTGAGTTCACACTACTTTACTTGTCAAAGCTGAGAGAATATGAAAGATGCCATTGAGTGGAGAGATAAGATGCAACCATTTCACTGTGTGGAAGCTCAGTGGCAAGGTTAACTGTAGCTCAAGGCGTCATTCTTCTGCTAGATTACAATGGAGTAAACAATTCACACTAGAATAATGTTTATGGGCTCATACCAGATTCTCCAATTCAATTTAACTCAAACTGAAAAAACATGTAGGGACACTATTTAACAGTTCTAGTGGGATGCATTCACACAAATGAATATCTTGGTACATTTTTAATTATCCTGATGATTGTTTGAACACTATAGCAGTCCATTCAAAATATGTTATTATATGTAGTTAATATGATTAACTGATATTCAGGAGCAGGACCACGCCTCAACTGCCCTCTCCTCTCACCAGCGAACCACAACTCACCTCGACCATGCCTCTAATTTCCCAGAAGCCTATATGTAGCAGCCTTTCCCATCATCCCAGTTTGTCTCGGCTAACTCGACCCCACCCTCCCATTCCCTATTTTGTCTTTCAGTCATAAGGCCCCTACAAGGGGGGTCCCATTCCGGCTGGGCCAAGTGAAGATTGAGAAGGAGCCCCCACCCATAGTATCAACCCAGTCATCTCTGCCCCGCTTCGTACATTATCAATAAACTTCTTCGCACTATGTCTTTGTTGGTGTGGTCCTAGCAAGTGAAGTGGTCACTGACGGTCAAGTATAGCAAGAAAGTGAATGCAATGCAAACTACACTTATGTAAGTATAGAACTATCACTGTATGTTCTTGTCTGAAAGAATAAACTGCCAGTTTCTTTTCCCTAAGATAATGCAAAAGAAAAAAAACAGCAAAAAAACAAGCAACATTTTGTCTTTTAATAAGCTTGACCTCGAATAAATAAATACAAGTACTTTAAACAGTATGCTCGATATTCTAATTTTGCATGTCTCCAGAACAACAAAATTGATGTCTTCTTTCTCATTACTTCCAAACTAGAGTCAAAAGGGTAAATGAGCTAACCTCTAGCAGTAGCACAAGTTCAAGACAGTACTGACATCAGACTAAACCAACATATGCTACCTTTTCCTCCTCCAAATTAAAGCTTGTTATTCGGTGGTGCCCTAATGAAGGAGCAGGGCCCCATTTGGCAGGGTCAGAGTCTCTAACTGCCCGCGGGGCAGAGGAGAAGGATAGATAGATATAAAAGGAAAAATCAGGAAAACCTTTAATCTGCACAATCAGAGACTGGGGCTGGGAGGAACTGATCCTTCTCCCATAAGGGCATTGTCAGGCATGTAAGGCCTCTTCAGCAATTCCTTTTCTTGCCTTGGAATATATTAACCCACAGAGATTTAGATGCATGCTGGGATGATGGGAAATGAGGAGGAATAATGCGATTCAGCTGCAGTTTCACTTTTGGTTCATCGAATCTTTACAGAGGGAAAACAGCCATACATTAAACATAAAATATATGTTTCTAAGCTAAATTTGCCTACAAAGTATTTCATTGCAGATCAGCGCACAGTACCGTTGTACCCTTGCGCAAAACGCAGTGTGTGAATGAGCATTGATGGAGGTCAGAGAGGTAATTGGTGCTCATTGGTAGATAGTCATATTCACATAAGTCAGCCACTGGGTGTTACTATTTTTGTATGAATTTGAAAAAGTCTTGATATCAGATGTACTTTCTAACAAAACCATTTCCATTTATTCAAACTTTGGACCAAGAAAAGAAAAGAAACATCTCACAAAGGGTTATGGTGACCCCACCCCATGGGCCTAACTTGTTGATATGGCCCGTCTTGAATTGTACTGAATAAAATGATAAGAAGGCGGGCAAGTTCAAAGTGTGTCAATCATAGCATCTATAAATAGCCAATGGCATTTGAGCTATTTTCAGACTACATTAGAGCATATGGTAGCCTACTTACTGTAGCCCCAACTAATTAAAGTGGCATTCAGTGACTGGCAGAGCTATAATGAATGTGATTTAAATGAGAAAGCAGAGATTCAGAAAAGTAAAGAACTGATGGAAATGCCGGGACACATCACATGCAATAAGACCGCATCAGTGCGCAAAAACAAAACGCGCAGTGTGCAAACCTCCAGTGAAACGAGTTTAGCAAGTTGAACCTCTGCTGACTCCTTTCATATCTGCTACACCGTAAGAGGACACGTACAGATACTTTGTCTGTCATCGCGTGCAAATAAATAAAAACGTGCTAATCTCCTGGCATGACTGCGAGAAAACAATTCATAAAAATGTGCAAATAATTTACAGTATTTCTCGTGTTGTAGCAGGTGGTTCTTTTACACTTGTGCCAACTTCCTCGCAAACAACTCGCCTTCCTTCAAACTTACCTTCCCCTTCAAATCGAGGATAAAAATCGCCGAAGCCGACATCGTGGTGGAGCAAATCCTCGGGAAAACAACTAGCCTGGATAAACCGTGAGTCCGCTGGAAGATATGGGTCACTTATAGGGGATAATGTGCTCTCCCATCCTCCTCCATCCTCCACTCCTTCAGTCGGTCTCGGCGTTTCAAAACTGCACCCTCCTCTGCCTCTCCAAGCGTCACCACTGCGCGATACCACCAAGGCGCACAACGCTGCTTCCGGTTAACAGAAAAATAAAAGTTTGATTTTATTTTTATTTTTTTAAATCATGGAAGTATAATGCGATCATTCATATTATAGATCTATGTTTATACATACATTGCACTTTTTTTTCTTTTTTTATGTATTTTCTTTGTTTTATGTATTTTTTTTCATGTAACGTTTCTGGGTTTTGGGTCGCTACAATTTAGTACAATGTATTTGCTGTTTCTACTTGCATTTGTCAAAAGTAATAGGGTATAGTAGGTATAGGCATTATCCAGCAGCACGTCTCTGCAAGATAGAATAGCAAAACGTAGGCCTATTTTTACGCAAATTTTATTTAATGAGCCACTGTCATATGGTATTTTACATTTACATCTTTATTTTCCTACTATGGACTACTTAAATTATCTAAATCTATATGAGTGAAGCAGATCTTAACACTACTGTTGTTGCCTAAAACAGGCAAAACTATTAATTTATTATGAAGAAGATTTTCCCTTTATTTCCTGTTTATCTTGCCCAAATTTTAGAAGCTTGACAGTTTGTATTTCCGGGGTGGCTGCTTCTTTGACAGCTCAGCTCAGCCACACACAGACCTGTCAGACCAGACTGCTCTCCTCACATGTGGGCCCTCAGAGCTGCTCACTCAGAGGAGACTGTAGGGCCCAGGCTTCTTTCAACGCACTGGGTCAGGTGCTCTTTTATAAAATCATGTTCAATTTACTAAGGTGAGTGTAAAGGTTCACGTGATAATGTTTTCTCTAGAAGTTATCTTGCTTTGAAACGTTACATTGTTGCCTGTTAAATGTATGGCATCTGTGGGTTACTAAACTAAATGCCAAACGTGGTATTACTATAAACATTTCCTTTCACAAGTTGTCCTCCTATAGATCCAGGGAGCTGACATGAGGGAGCTAGGCTAAGAAATGTCTAACGACAACATAATAAAGCCTAGTTTTTGTCCTTCCTGATTCCAAACATTCCAAACACAAATACTGTAGATTTTTAATGTTGATAAATATATCTTTACTTATCTTTGACACTTTATAAAATCAAACATCTCATTTTCAAAGTAAAATATTTATAAAAAAAAACACTAAACAATGATTTGAGTTAATTTAGCTTGAAAGTTGACCTATAATGATAATTTCAGAGAAACATCTGCTCATTCTGGATATGGTGCACACATCCTCACACAGGTCCTGAGAGAGGAGGGACATCCCCCTCATAGATCTGACACAAGTTTGGCAGTTTACAGCATAGTGCCAAACTGATTTCAGTGCTTTACTTTCACATTTTAAAATAACAACATATGTTCTGTCCTGTCAGTTTTTTATACACAGGTGATTATCTTTAAATAGGCCTAGTAAAAATAATAAAATAAATCTGTGTGCATGCCTATATACTTTTGAAACTCATTATATTAAAATTATATTTTTAATAGCATAAATATAAGTCAGTACAGTATTAGGGCTGGATACCTTTCAAAGGCACCAATATGATATAAAAAGTTCAATCGATAAGTTCAATCAATAACAACATTTTGATGACCAGTTTGCCAAACCAAAGTTAACTCAAATAAATGTCAAAGAAATGTTTTTTTTTTTTTTTTTTATTTAACATTTTGTTGTCTTGTGGTTCTTAGGACTAATATAGGAATATGTATCAAAAAAGCTGCATAAGCACCAGTATCAAAAAAGAGATATTGTTTAAGCCTGTACAGAAAGAAATGGAAAGGTACTCAGCCCTGCAGGAAATCTTTTACTAAAAAAGGAGTGGACTGTGTGAGGACAAGAGACAACCTTTCTATGCAATACTAAAGTCTATGTCCTCCATCTCCTCCTCTGTGTCCTCCAGGATCTCCGCTGCTCTCTGGGCACGCTCACGGTCACTGGGCTGGATGTAGTTATCTTCAATGAAGCCATCATCATCCTCCTCGATCACAGGAGGAATGCCATGTCCACTGTGCATGGAAAATTCCACATCCAGACCTAAACACACCAAAAATGTTCAAATGTTGAGTTGTACTGTATAGTTTTGGGTCATATTTTGTAATAATTACACTTCAATGGCCTTAATAAAGCATGCAAAGACTTAATTCGTAATTATTAAATAATTTATAAAAGTTATCCTACATATCATTATTGTTATTGTTTACTGCTTTTCCTGAAATGTCCCATGGCATTAAAATGATCCATCTTGTATTGATTCAATAATAGGTGTTTTCATTTACAAACATACCTTGAAAAAACTGCATTCTTAATGTGAGTGGGCTTGCCTTTCCACAGAACTGACCATTACTTGGCCTGGATTGTTTCTATGATATGTTTAAGGCCATACTGTGGATGGAATATTGTAGGCAAAGCAATAAGATCTGAATGGAGACAAGAAGGTGGCTGAGCCAGAAAAGTTACCCTAAAGAATGATTCAGACTTAGTAATTAATACCTGAACACTAACCCCTTAAATAAGTAGTTACTAAGCCTGAATCATTCAACTCTTTGTTCATTATGTTTTAAGTCTTTGTTCATTTTTTACTGAGGCAAATTAAGGTGCAGTTACTATAAAGTGGAACAGGGCTGCAACCAACAGTTCTTTAGCAATTATCCTTTCTATTATTAGTTTAGTTGTGTAGCTTGTGAAAGGGCCCTTGAATATGAGATTGTAGCAGATTTGAGCCAAATGAAGCAACTGTAATGCTGCTTGGGACCATCCTGATGTTGCATTTACAATGATCAAAAAGTCAAAACTGTAAAATGTTTTCTGCTTAGTATAATTAGTCAGCCCTAAAATGTTATGTAGTAGATTTGGGTAAGATATAAAGGCCCACCTGATATGTTATGTAGTAGATTTGGGTAAGATATAAAGGCCCACCTGATGCCTGGCTAACTGCTTCCGTCTCCCGGAGTCTTGTGTGTCTGTAGCTGGCCAGGTAGCGCCTCACCACCTGGCATTTGGCCAACAGAGCGATGAGAGCAGAGATGGAGATCGCCACAGCCAAGACCGCAACAAGGAACTCCCACTTATGAGACGTGTCAAAGTCAGGGCGTGTAACTGGAACATAAGAAGCTATCATGTTTTTAGAATGAGGCCAGCATCGTCTCCTTTAGGAACATCAGATCGTGGTCTTATTCTGGAGTTGCATACTGACCTTGACTACACTATCACACCAATGTCAAACGTATAATGGAATCTTATTTTACATTTAAACATTTATGGTAATATAAAGTAATAAAAAGAAGCTGATTTTGTATTAATATTGGATCAGCCTAAAATAATGAAATAAAGAAAGATGATAAAGAACAGTCAAAATTAGTCGTGTCTTTAATTAAGCCAAGTTCGAGTGATTTATACTTTGGAGGTAAACTGTGCAATGTTTCTGGTGGAGGGTCTGTCACCTACTTGTCTCCATGGAGATCTTATTGCTTTGCATGGAATGTTCCATAGTAGAACTTTAAACTTATTCATCTAGCATTTATTAATTATGGGCATTTCTATTGCTCAAAAATACTTAATCATTCCCACTGTGAATAGGGGCGACTCTCCACAGATCTCTATTGTAATGTAGCGTAGTGCTGGTAGATAGGTTTAATCTATACTGTGTAACATTCTAGATAAAGCAGTAACATTAGTAGTAGTAGTTTATTTGGTTATTTTGAGGCACTACAAAACAAAACAAAAGAAACCATAGACTACAACCCCATGGATCATGACCGAAAGGGTTTAGGGTTTATATACTAACCCCTCTAACAGCTATACAATCACTTTTTTTTTTAGTTCTTTGTTTTTTGTTTTGTTTTGTTTTCTTTTGTTTTGTTTTTTCCTTTATGGTTGTACAAACTTATAATAATGTTAACGAAGGCTCAAAAAAGTTTATGATCGTACAAAATAAACCATAATGAGAATGAAAAAATGTAATGTAATGTTAATGAAAATGTTAAAGAAAAGCATGTATGTAGTTAATAGTCATGGTTTTCTTAAGACAACGGATCTAGTCTTCAAGGTATTTCTGTAAGATTTGATTTTTATGTTGTTTTTTGAAGTGCACCAAGTTCGTACAAGCTTTGATATGGTCGTCTAAGCTGTTCCATGACTCTACTCCATGTCTGGTAACACACAAGAGTGGTTCCAGAGAATCGTTTTTTAAAACCTCTCTGGTTGTATTTGAATTCATTTGTGCAGAACAGTTTTTGAAAGTTATCTGGGAGCAGGTTGAGTTTCGCTTTTAATAAGATTTGGCAAATTTTTGGGGACCTGGTTCTTTGACTGGCAAAAAAGTGCATTTGTATGTTCTCTATATCCAACTAAGTGAGCTAGTGCTTTTTTTGTAATTTACAGAGGTGGGACCAAGTCATTGTCTCAAGTAAGTCTCAAGTGTTTGATCTCAAGCCTGAGTCAAGTCACAAGTCAAATACAGTCAAGTCCAAGTCGTCTGGCCCATAAGTCCAAGTCAAGTCCAAGTCGTCTGCTTTGAGGGTCAAGTCATTTCAAGTCTTTAAACCCAAGTACCAAATATAGCTTAGATTTTTGCAATTTACATGCATTTTAAGCTAAATCCTTCTTAATGGTATATTTATGTATGAGTATTTATGTAAGAGTTATAGAAATGCAATTTTTTCCTTTTTAAACTTGACAAAATCTTAGTGTGAATCATTATGGTCAGAATAGAAAGAATTAAGATTTAAAAGTGCATAATAATAGTTATTTTGTCATGCAGTCTGCACTGAAATTGAAGGATCATGGTCTATGCAGTGCTTCCAAATAGTGGGGCTCGCGAGGCTCCGTCCGCGTTTGACTCGGCGATGCTTTTTATTTTTTTATTTAGTTTTTTTACTGTCTTAATTCACACCAAAGCGTAAAAAACGCCTACGCCTATTTGAGCTATTTGAGTTTAGACGCCCCCGACGCGCATGACGCCGTAGAACGGGATAAAAATACTTGACGCGCGTTTGCCCTGGAAATAAGAGCTGTCTTTTCCCGATGTACCATGAGAGAGTTTTTTATGACTAAAACATCAACGTACGACTGGGGTGTGTTTATATTTCTCTCCGCTAGACACTTAGTCGTCTAGTCAGAGTAGTCAGTCAAAAGTCAAGGAGGTGGGTCCTTCCGGAGGATCGATTCCCGTCAGTTTGTGGTCCGTTCTGGTTCTCGGGTTTTTCTTCCTGATAATAACGTTGCGTCTCTGGATACTCGTCCCTGATTGGTTGACGCGGCGCGTCTGACGCGAAAAGTTCAGAATTTTCAACTTCTTGACGCTGACGCCTTGGACGCGCGTCTTGGCCGCTGAAAAACGCTGAAGACCGCTGCGCTGATAAAAACGCGCCGCAGAAAATAGTTTATAGAAAGTTTTGACGCTTTGGTCTGAAAAATAAAGCATTGCATTCCATACATTAGGGGCAGAGCGCTTTTGGCAGAGTGGCAGGGAGCTCGGTGGTGTAAGTCACTGAGCATCGCGCTTTGCACACAGCACAGAGTCACAAGTCAGGTCACATTGGGGGGGGGGCGCGAGATGTCATCCAGGGGGGGCAGACAGAAAATAATTGAGAAGCATGGTCTATGCAGTTCCCTCTGTTTTACTATATTGTACTGTATATTACTGTATTGTACTGTAGTACATTTGAGGATACCATCTCACAGTACTTCAGTTACGTCCAGAGTAACAAATCGAAGTGGGAGGGACATGTTCCAGTTTATTCCTGTAAAATTCAGCACCACATTTAACAACCATAAAGAGAAAAGTATTTTCTAAAAGCATATATATTTTTGGGAGAAGCAAGTCTCTCAAGTCACACGGCACAAGTCCCAAGTCATTGATCTTCAAGTCCAAGTCGAGTCCCAAGTCTTATTCCATTTTATCAAATCAAGTCCCAAGTCCTAAAAAAAGTGACTCAAGTCTGACACGAGTCTAAGTCATGACTTGCAAGTCCCCACCTCTGGTAATTTAATCATTAAGTCTGAGTTACTTTTTATATTTATAGATTTATTTATAAGACATTTCCATTGAGATAATCAGTAACACAAAAAAAGTTACGTTTAAACCTTTAAACAAATATACAACATAGGCCTATTTAAAAATATATGGCTAGGAATTTTGTAAGCACAGGCCTGTTCTTTGTTCTTGTATCCTAAAAAAAGCTATAGAACATATAAAACTCAAAGGCATGTTTGGAAACGGCATACAGGCAGATGGTTAGTTCATTGAATATTTTTTCTTATGTTCATTTGTATTAACACAATAATTTAAATATTTCTCATAATATCATCTCATATCATAGTGTTTTTAGACTTACAGTTGTGTGTTGAGTTGATTGCAGCTGTGAACGGTCCGTCTGTATATGCTTCCATTTGACTTTGTTTTTTCAGTCTCTTTCATGAGTCACTTCATCAGACAGTGTTTTGTGTTTTGTGAAGCCAGTGTATTGCTTTTTTAAAATAACTTTTAAAGGGTTATTCAAGTCCAAAACTGTTACTGCGACAAAAAAATTTCAGCGTGTCCTTGTTGAAAGCAGCACAGATTTCTGAAAACAGACCCTGTATTATATGCTTTTATGTTGAAACCAATTAGTCTGAAGCAAAGTGACAATAGACAGGATCAGATGAGGGAGGCCTTTTTCTTTCGGTGTTACGACTGTCCACTGGATGGCGACGTTGAGTGGCTGGGACTCCTCCTTGGTTCATTAATAAGTGAAGGGCAGTGCCATTACCATCTCATGAAATCTGATCCAGAGTAGCCTTCTCGAGCTGCACAAGAACAAGAGAAAAGTAAAAGTTACAACTTAAAATAGTCGCGTTCAAAATCAAACAGCATTTTTTAGATCCCAGACTTCAACCACCCTTGTGTTTTGTGGCTTTGAAATCTGTTTGGGCCAGAGAATGAATATTTTAATATCCAGCCACACAAATAGAAGAACAGTCAAGTGGCCTAAAAATGTAAGTGTCTTTTAAGAATGTGATTCACTGTGTAGGCATGCACACAATAACAAGGGCCCGTAAGGATACCAGGAACTATGTCACAAACAGGACGTACCACCAAAGCTCCAGCTTATACAAATATGAAAAGCAATCAATCACAATCAGACACAAAAAAGCCATAGTGAAATTAGTATTACTCACTGGTGGAAGAATACTCGATGTTGTTACTTAAGTAAAAGTAGAGATATCAGAGCAAGAGCAAAAATAAAAAGTCTCACATGAAAAAATCTTCTTAAGTAAAAGTATTAAAGTACCAGTTTAAAAATGTACTTCAAGACTAAGAGTATTTCACAGAGATTTTGAGGTCTTATAAAGATTTAAATGTAGTGATTTTGTGTTAAAGTCATTTTTTTCCTTGCTGTTTACATTTTTTTTGTATATTTTTGTTTGTTCAGCCTTTTCAGCGGCTCTCAAATATTGAAAAATACTTTTACTTTAGAGCTCTGTTCAGTAAGGTAGTGGAGTAAAATGTACAGATACCTGCTGTTAAATTTAGTGAAGTAAAAGTAAAAAGTATCTAAGTATTTAAAATGTACTTAAGTAAAGTACAGATAGCTTTTTTTTTTCTGAAGTACAGAACTTTACTACTTTACTTCATTACATTTCACAACTGCTATTGCTTTTTTTTTTTTTTTTAGATAATTATCGTATTTATTTTATTTTTTTATAGAAATGGGAAAGATTCTATGTCCTACTACGGAGACATTGTTTTGTTTTTCTGAAAAAATACAACTTTCTATCTTCTCTTACTTAACTTAATTATTCAGTGGCTATATAATTAGAGAATACTGTAAGCTGCATTCCTGTGTACTTCTCAGTTTTCATAATGCCCTGGCAACTGCAGTCAACTGCTCCAACATCTTTTTTGCATTATACACACAACTACAACTATTACTACTACTACAACAACAACTACTACGACGACGACGACGACGACGACTACTACTACACTAGAACAATAGCATATGTATTCTGTGATATATGCAGATTTAAATAATACTAATAACATTTACGTTCTTCTCTTAGCAGCTATCAGTGGTATTTTTCAAGTCTTTTCAGTAGTTAGTAGTTGCAGTTGCACTATAAGCAATGTTTTACCTCTACTTTTTACATTGCTCTTTGTATTTGTAGTTTAAAGCAGCACAAATACTGACTCAAGCATACTTCTGTTTGAGTAGTAAGATGCAAATGACCAAGAGCTGAACACAAATATTACAATTGTATACGAGGATATGCAAATGTTGTTTTCCTGAGTGTAAAGTCCCTTCACTTCCCTCCTTAAAAGTGTAGGAGTAGTTCTAATTTCTGTGGTCAAATAGAACATACGAATCTGGTATAAACTCATCTGTACCTTGCACTTTGAATAAGGAAATGTTCTAAAGATTAGCATCTATGTGTAATTAATCATTAGGTTTTTTTTGGTTTACATAGTTGCTTGTTCAGTTCACGGTTTACAGAATGTTTCATTATTAACCCCAAATATGGGCATCCTTTAACTTTTTGAAATGGAAACAAGTATCAGAAAAATATTTCTGTTTTCCCATGGGACAGTGTAATGCATTCTTTTTAATGTCCCAATGAGTAAATTTTAGTTTATCATCTGGGAACCCCTCTCCAGATCTGATGGCACAGTGGCTCTGTTTAGAAGTACATGCATCATGATCTGGTTTCTGGAGTTTTCAGATGATTGAAATGTCATGTGAACATTTACTGATGCGAGTAATCTGGGTTATTCCTGGTTGATCACACTTTAGGTTCAGCCAAGGTTTAGCCAAGCCAATGATTGAGAAAATATAAAGATCAAGTTACAGATTAAAGGGGTAATTTTAAAAGTCCCATCAGCCCCAGGGCAGCTGTGGCTACAATAGCAGTTTACCACCACCAAGTGTGGAGTGAATGAATAACTGTAAAGTGCATTAACACATATGTTCCTCCCACATCTGAGTACTGCAATAAACACACTACAAATTCACCATTACAAATGTCTTATTACAGACATATTTTGTATATCTCAGTTGAGCAGTGATTCTGTGGCACTCTAAGGGTCTGGCTGTTTAGCTACAACATTAGCCCCCTTTTCCTCCTCCACTCTGTCACAGTAAGCACAGCAGCTCTTTATCTCTTCCTGTTTTATTCTCATAGCTGAAGCAAAACACAATATAACATGCAACAGCAACACTCACCAGATGCCCAGGTCACAATATAAAAGCTAAATTTATTTAATTCAATAAACAAAATGTAAAACTGTATGGAAAATATAAGGTGCTCCTTTGTTTACATCACCTTCAGTTATGTATAAGACAGTGGGAATGAAAACAAGCATTTCACTGTTCTTTGGTCATGGTGTCAGTTGCTCTGAATTGACCCAAACAGCTACTGGCTGACATCAGCAAACTCCCTCTGCCTCAAGGATGAAGATCAGAGACAGACATGTAGCCAGCACTCCACAAAAACTTACATGTGCACCTTTGCTTTCTATGGAGCTATTTTAAAACTGTTGTTCAACTGACTATACTTTTTGTTTTGCAGCAAAACAACTGCAAAGTGTTTTGATCAAATACATTTCATAGCTCCTCCATGCTGCTTCTGCTCAGATTGCTGGTGGACACTGCCTTATATCAGCCTGAAGCGAGGAGCTTACTACATTGAAACTACTCTGAAACTAACACACCTCCTTGTTTACAGTTTCTGTATGTTAGACAGGTCTAATGAACTGAAATGGGGACTGTCCCGGAGTGCCTAAGAAGCAGCTTCGATGAGACACTTGTTTTGAATAACGCATATTTTCCTCCCACATCTCAGTTCTGTAATAAATAAAATTCACCATTACAAATAGCTTATTTCAGACATATTTTGTATATCTCAGTTGAACAGTGATTCTGTGGCACTCCAGGGGTCTGGCTGTTTAGCTACAACATTAGCCCCCTTTTCCTCCTCCATTCTGCCACAGTAAACACAGCAGCTCTTTATCTCTTCCTGTTCTATCCTCACAGCAAAAGCAGAACACAATATAACATGCAACGGCAACACTGGAGGCCATCTCAAAGACGCCTAGCAGCAAAACATCTATTCCTACAACTACATTTGCATACATTTCCATACACAAAACTTTGAATTCAATTTTCAAACTTCTAGCGCTCTGTATTTTGATGTGATGTCAGTTTTTATTCACTAATGATGGCTAGGAGCAATGTAGAACCTTCCCTCTGTTATCAAAATGAATAAAAGATTACATTAGTCTCCTCCAAAAGCTTTCAAACAGGCAAATTAACTGTAAGAAAACGAGGAGGGCGGTGCATGCTCACTATTGGTCAAATCTTGATATAATCTCAACCCAAATCTAGTACAAATAAACATGTATGTCGTCAAAAGCAGTCACACAATCAGTGCTACCCAAATAGTACACAATAGTTTTTCCATCGTCCTTCTTCCAGTGCCAAGTTTAGTCTTGTTTGACATTTGAAAAGTTCTGGACTGATAAAGATGCTGTAAAACTGCTACTGTGGATTCTGTTCACATAATTGAGGCAAGGTCATTGTATCTTAAACAAAGAGCTTTTAAATGTTGATTTTGCCTACAGTGTGCTATGATGTGTAAACATGCAAATGCTTTACAAAGGAACAAGCCAACTCTGTTATAGGCAATGGTGGAAGATGTACTCAGTTTTGTTACTTAAGTAGAAGTACAGATACCGGAGCAGAAAAATGCTAAAACTAAAAGTATTAAAGGTTGCACTATGTAACTTTTCTGCAACCTCATTGTCTCCATGGAGATGTTATTGCTTCACCTTACAAGTTCCACAGTATGGCATTAAATGTTTGTGTCCGTGGAGGCAAACAGAGAAAACTACCAGGCAACGTTACAGGTTAGATCTGTGGAGAGACAGCCATGCTAAGAGTGAGAATGCATGTTTTTAAAGGGTTTTTTCATATAAGCATACCCGTGATTGTATTAATGCAAGATACATATGTTTAATGCCATACTGTGAAACATTAAAAGGCAAAGCAATAACATCGACATGGAAACAAGCAGTTGGCAAACCCTGTACCAGAAAAGTGACACAGAGAACTTTTAATGTACCTGTTTAAAAATGTACTTAAAGAGTAAAAAGTAAAACTATTTCACACAGATTTTGAGGTCTTGAGGTTTTGATACAGATTTGTGCAGAATTTTGTTCAGTGGAAACAACTGAATCAATTGTTTTTTTCTAGCTGTTTTTATTTGTATATTTTTGTTTGCTCAAATTATGAACGTGTTAACAATAAACCCCTCAGCCTTTTCAGCAGGTCTCAAACTATAAAAAGCAAAGTGAAAAATGCTTTTACTTTTCAGTCCAGTTAAAAAATGTAGTGGAGTAGAAAGAAATATACATGATCTCAAATGTAGTGAAGTAAGAGTAAAAAGTAGCCACTGTAAAATGTATTTAAGTAAAGCACAGATATCTAAAAAATCTACTTAAGTACAGTTGTTACCTTCCACCACTGATCATGGGAATATTCAAGGGTTTTTATGTTTTAATGAATGTGTAGAATTAACCTAATTAGATACAAAAAGCTCACAAGTTTGCATGTTTTGTGTGTCTCTGTCAATGATTCAAATTGTAAATAGTAAATGGTCACATTTTTATATAGATTTTTTTCTACCTTCAAGGCTCTCAAAGCGCTTTACATCAAGCCCAAAGATGCAACAATAAAATTCATCTATGGGAGCTGGAATTGCACGAAACCGCCAACCTTCAGATCAGTGGACAAACAAGTCTACTGTGATGA